GACATGAAGGGAAAAAAAAGGAAGAAAGGAAGAAAAGGAGGATGAGATGGGTGAAGGGACCAAAATGGAGCAATGTTGTGGGTGACTGATGTCAGCTGACCTTTTGGGAGAACATCGATTCTTCGCAGTCCAATGGTATGCTGACCTTATGAGGAGGGAAGAGGAGGAGGAGGGCGGAGGAGGAGGAGGAGGGCAGAGATAGAGGGAGGAGAAGGAGGAGACGAGGAGGAGAAGGAGGAGACGAGGAGGAGGAGAAAGGAGGAGACGAGGAGGAGGAGAAGGAGGAGACGAGGAGGAGGAGAAGGAGGAGACGAGAAACTCTTGGCGACTGGATGAGGCTCACTCCCTCTTCGTGAATCGAAAAAGGAGAACAACGTTTTAAAAAGAGAGAGGGCTATCTGGGGTGTGTGTGTGTGTGTGTGTGTGTGTGTGTGTGTGTGTGTGTGTGTGTTGTGTGGTGTGTGTGGTGTGTGTTGGTGTGAGATTTTATGTAAGTGCGTGTGCGTATATGTACGTGTGTGCGTGTACGTGTTTCAAAGCAAACCTAACTATGGAATGTAAGCTTACATCCTTAAACTACTAATCTATACCACAGTCATCATAAAACAAGGCTTTATGATTGTAAACTTCCACCTTGAGAAAAAAGGAGAAATTAAAAACGTAAAATTTTATTGTTACATATATATATGCTATGAAGTCGATCGGAAAATACGATATATTCCTTATGACTGTGTAATGAAGAAGCGAGGGGGATAGACCCGTGCTTGTTCTGTTGGAAGGTCATCAAGCTCGTAAAGTTCAGGGGAGGAGGAGGAGGAGGAGGAGGAGGAGGAGGAGGAGGAAGGGGGGGGAAGAGAGGAGGAAGGACAGTGAAAGGGGGAAGAGGGAGAAAGAAGGGAAGGGGAGATGGGGGGAAAAGGGGGGAGAGGGAAAGAGAGGGGGAAGAGGGAGAGAATGGGGGGAGAGGGGAAGAGAATGAGGAAGAAATGGAAGGAGAAAGAGGAAGAAATGGAAGGAGAAAGAGGAAGAAGTAAAGAAGAAGAAGGAGGAAGGAGTACGATGAGAATGGAAGGGGAAGCACGAGGAAGAAGAGAAAAGAGAGGGAAGGCATACGAAGAGGAAAAGAGAAAAGAAGGAAGAGAAAAAAAAAGAAAAAGGAAGGAAATTAGACCAAAACAGAGAAGGAGAAGGAACCGCGGAAGACCCAAAAAAAAAAGAAAAAAAAAAAAGAAGGAGGAGGGGAGAAGAAGAAACGAGTAAAAAGGAGACAAGTAGGAGAATAGAAAAGGAGGCGAAGGAGAGGGGGGGCGTGGCGATGTGATGAAATTGCCACCTCGCTCTTGCAATTCGTAACCATCGACCCTCAGAGGCGTAATAAGGCGCCAGACGTCGAAAGCTGGAGGGGGGGGGGGAGACGTTTATTCTTAAGGTCTTGCTCATTAGTGTGGGGGATGGGAGGGGGGGGGTGGTGGTGGTGGTGGGGGTAGGTGGAAGAGTGGAGGCGGGTCCTGCGGAAAGGGGGGGGGGGGAGGAGGGGAAGAGAGGGAAGCGATTGACCTTTCTCGAGTGGTGTCTCTCTCTCTCTCTCTCTCTCTCTCTCTCTCTCTCTCTCTCTCTCTCCCTCCCCTCCTCTCTCTATCCCCTCCTCTCCTTTTCTCCCTCTCTTCTTCCTCTTCTCTCTCTCTCTCTCTCTCTCTCTCTCTCTCTCTCTCTCTCTCTCTCTCTCTCTCTCTCTCTCTCTTCCTCTCTCTCTCTCTCTCTCTCTCTCCCTCTCTCTCTCTCTCTCTCTCTCTCTCTCTCTCTCTCTCTCTCTCTCTCTCTCTCTCTCTCTCTCTCTCTCTCCCCCCCCCCATTTCCCAATTTTCCTCCTTCCTTCGCCCTCTCATTCAGTCTATCCCTCCCCCCCTTTCCCCCTCACTCTCTTTCTTCCTCTCCTTCTCCTTCTCTCTTTCCTCTTATCCATCTCCCCCCCCACTCCCATCCCCTCTCTCCCTCACACGTAAAAACACGTAAAAAAAAAAGAGAATTAGAAAGAGAGAAAGAAAGAAAGAAAAGAGAAAACAATGATATGGCCCTCACACGTTCCCTCCATTGGCCAGGAATGTACCTCGATTGGCCGGGAATGTCCGTTGTCGCTCCGTGGCACTCGGAAGCGACGTCGATCTGGTCATTTGGCACTGGTGGGGGGGGGCAGGGGAGAGGAGAGGGAAGGGAAGGAGGAGAAGGGAAGGGATGGGGGAAGGGATAGTAAGGGTGGAGGGAAGGGAAGGGAAGGGAAGGTGTGGGGAGAGAAGGGAAATGGAGGAGGGGAGGGAAGGGTAGGGAGGAGGTTGGAGGGGAGGAGGAGGGAAGGGAAGGGGAGGAGGGAAGGGAAGGGGAGGGGGAAGGAGGGAAGGGGGAAGGGAAGGTATGGGAGGAGGCTGGAGGGGAGGGGGAAGGGGAGTGGAGAGGTGGGGAGGTGTAAAGGAAGGGAAGGGAAGGCAGATAAGTGAAGGGAGGGGAAGAGTAGGGAGAGGGGGGGTAAGTGGAGGGAAGGGAGGGGGGGGTAGGGAAGGGGAGGGTATAAGATGGGATGGGATGGGAAGGGAGGAAAGAAGGGAAGAAGGAAGGAAGGGAATGAGGATGGAAGAAGGGGCCATGAAAAGGACGACAAAGACAGGGAAGCCGGAGGGAGGAAGGGAAGGAAGAAGGAAAGAAAGAATGAAAGGAAGGAAGGAAGATATAAAGGAAGGAACGAAAATAGGGAGGAAGAGAACGAAAGAAGGAAGAAATGAAGGGAAGAGAGACTAAGAAAGAAAGAAGAAAAAGAATGGAAGGAGGAAAGGAAGAACAACGAAAGAAGGATAGAAGGGAAGAGAGAAATGAAGGAAAGAGGAAAGGAAAAGAAGAGCAACGAAGGAAGGACAAAAGGGAAGAGAGAGAGACGAAAAAAGAAGGAAAGAAAGAGCAATGAAGGAAGGATACAAAGGAAGAGAGACATGAAGGGAAAAAAAAGGAAGAAAGGAAGAAAAGGAGGATGAGATGGGTGAAGGGACCAAAATGGAGCAATGTTGTGGGTGACTGATGTCAGCTGACCTTTTGGGAGAACATCGATTCTTCGCAGTCCAATGGTATGCTGACCTTATGAGGAGGGAAGAGGAGGAGGAGGGCGGAGGAGGAGGAGGAGGGCAGAGATAGAGGGAGGAGAAGGAGGAGACGAGGAGGAGAAGGAGGAGACGAGGAGGAGGAGAAGGAGGAGACGAGGAGGAGGAGAAGGAGGAGACGAGGAGGAGGAGAAGGAGGAGACGAGAAACTCTTGGCGACTGATGAGGCTCACTCCACTCGTGAATCGAAAAAGGAGAACAACGTTTAAAAAGAGAGAGGGCTATTCTGTGGTGTGTGTGTGTGTGTGTGTGTGTGTGTGTGTGTGTGTGTGTGTGTGTGTGTGTGTGTGTGTGTGTGTGTGTGTGTGAGATTTTATGTAAGTGCGTGTGCGTATATGTACGTGTGTGCGTGTACGTGTTTCAAAGCAAACCTAACTATGGAATGTAAGCTTTACATCCTTAAACTACCTAATCTATACCACAGTCATCATAAAACAAGGCTTTATGATTGTAAACTTCCACCTTGAGAAAAAAGGAGAAATTAAAAACGTAAAATTTTATTGTTACAATATATATGCTATAAGTCGATCGGAAAATACGATATATTCCTTATGACTGTGTAATGAAGAAGCGAGGGGATAGACCCGTGCTTGTTCTGTTGGAAGGTCATCAAGCTCGTAAAGTTCAGGGGAGGAGGAGGAGGAGGAGGAGGAGGAGGAGGAGGAGGAGGAAGGGGAAGAAGAGGAGAAAGACAGGGAAAGGGGGAGGAGGAGAAAGAAGGGGAAGAGGGAAAGAATGGGGGAAAAGGGGGAGGAGAAGAGAGGGGAAGAGGGAGAGAATGGGGGAGAGGGGAAGGAAGAAAGAGGAAGAAATGGAAGGAGAAAGAGGAAGAAATGGAAGGAGAAAGAGGAAGAAGTAAAGAAGAAGAAGGGAGGAAGGAGTACGATGAGAATGGAAGGGGAAGCACGAGGAAGAAGAGAAAAGAGAGGGAAGGCATACGAAGAGGAAAAGAGAAAAGAAGGAAGAGAAAAAAAAAGAAAAAGGAAGGAAATTAGATCAAAACAGAGAAGGAGAAGGAACCGCGGAAGACCCAAAAAAAAGAAAAAAAAAAAGAAGGATGAGGAAGAGGAGGAGGAAGAAGAAGAAATGAGTAAAAAGGAGACAAGTAGGAGAATCGAAAAGGAGGCGAAGGAGAGGGGGGGCGTGGCGATGTGATGAAATTGCCACCTCGCTCTTGCAATTCGTAACCATCGACCCTCAGAGGCGTAATAAGGCGCCAGACGTCGAAAGCTGGGGGGGGGGGAGACGTTATTCTTAAGGTCTTGCTCATTAGTGTGGGGGATGGGAGGGGGGGGTTGGTGGTGGTGGTGGGGGTAGGTGGGAAGAGTGAGGCGGGTCCTGCGGAAAGGGGGGGGGGGGGGGGGGGAAGAGAGGGAAGCGATTGACCTTTCTCGAGTGGGTGTCTCTCTCTCTCTCTTTCTTTCTCTCTCTCTCTCTCCCTCCCTCCCTCCCTCCCTCTCTCTCTCCCTCTCTCCTTTTCTCCCTCTCCTTTTCTCCCTCTCTCCCTCTCTCTCTCTCCTTTTCTCCCTCTCCTTTTCTCCCTCTCTCTCTCTCTCTCTCTCTCTCTCTCTCTCTTTCTCTCTCTCTTTCTCTCTCTCGCTCTCTCTTTTTTCTCTCTCTCTCTCTTTCTCACTGTGTGTGTGTGTGTGTTTTCACGGAAGCCGACAGAAAAAAAGGAAAAAAAATAAGTGAAAAAAGTTGATGAAATGGATAAAAGATAAAAAAAAACTTTAAATCTCCGATGAGCACTTCCTAAGATATGGCATTGGCTCGGTGAGTGTCCCGATAAGCAGATAAGATTAGATTAGCTGACGTCACACTTCCCCCCCCCCCCCCCAGCGGATGTGATCGTTAGTCAGCTCAATTAGTCAGATTAGTCAGGACGTCGTCAGCGAGTGGTTAAATAGCAGTTAAGGATATTTACAGAGAAAAAAAGAGAGGAGACTAGGAGAGCAAAAGGAGAGAGAAGTTGGAGAAAGAGAAAGAGGAGGAGAGAGAGAAGGAGGGAAAAAAAAAGAAAATACCAAGAGATCGAGTGAAAGAGAGAGAAAAAAAAGATATAGTAAAGTGAACGAGAACGAGTGAGAGGAAAGGAAAAAGAAGATTAAGGAAAAAAGAAAGAGAAGAAGAGAAAAGGAAAAACGAACGAGAGAGAAAGATACAAACAGAGAAAGAAGAAGAAAAGGAAAGGAAAAAGAAGAGGAAGGAAAAAAGAAAGAGAAGAAGAGAAAAGGAAAAACGAACGAGAGAGAAAGATACATACAGAGAAAGAAGAAGAAAGAAAGAAAGAGAGAGACAGACAGAAAGAGAAAGAGACAGAGAAAGAAAGAGAAAGAGAGCCAGGGAAAGAAAGAGAAAGAGACAGAGAAAGAAAGAAAGAAAGACAGAGAGAGAAAGAGAGAGAGCTACCGTTCCTTATTTGGTAAAAATCGAGTTTTCCATTTGCCTGTAACGATTATCACAAGCAAATCTCGGCCGAACCTGATCTATCTGTCACGTGATCTGGAACGAAGGACGTTTCGTGAGTTAAACATTTTTTTTGGTTTTATCAAATTAAGTATAAGAAGGTTTTGGTTGTATTGTTTATTGATTTATAGGATTGAAAATGAATAAGATTTTTTTTTTTGGAATCGTCTTATATGTACTATGTAAGCATACATCCGCATACGCACGCACACACGCCCGCCCGCACACACACACGCACGCACGCACGCACGCACGCACACACACACACACACACACACACACACACACACACACACACACACACACACACACACACACACACACACACACACACAGTATGTGTATGTGGTAGTAATAATAATAGTAATGGTAGTTATAGTAGTAATAGTAGCAGTAGCAGTAACATTAATAGTAGTAATGGTAGTTATAGTAGTAGTAACAGCAATATTAGTAGTAATAGCAGTAGTAATGCTAGTAGTAGCAATAGTTATAGTATTGGTAGTTATAGTAGTAGTAATAATATTTGTACTAATACTTGTAACAGTAGTATTAGTAATAATAATAGCAATTAATGATACTAATAATAGTGGTAGTAATACTAGTAATAGTAGTTGTAATGGTAACAGAAGAAGAAAGAAAGAAAGAAGAAGAAAGGTAAGAAGAAATAGAAGAAGAAGAAGAAGAAGAAGAGGTAACAGAAGAAGAAAGAAAGAAGAAGGTAAGAAGAAATAGAAGAAGAAGAAAGAAAGAAAGAAGAAATAGAAGAAGAAGAAGAAGAAAGAAAGAAAAAATTGAAGAAGAAGAAAGAAAGAAAGAAGAAATAGAAGAAGAAGAAGAAGAAGAAAGAAAGAAAAAATTGAAGAAGAAGAAAGAAAGAAAAAATTGAAGAAGAAAAAGAGGAAAAAGAAAATGATAAGGACCGAAAAGCAGGAGAAAATGAGTGTAGGAAGTGGGGGTAATTGTCAACTTTCATCAGCACTCAGGCCACAAAGCAGACTGAGGGACGAGCATGTAGTGTTCGGTGTAGGTTTTTGCTGTGTAGTGTACACATACGTACACAATAAACCTGGTTTGTGCATCTTGTAGTTATCTACGTGTGATGGATATGTGTGTATAACAGTTATAATGTAGTTCTGTGGATGTATATGTATATACAGTTAGGAAAATCTATGTACGGATATAGTTTTAAGTATATACGCACGGACTTCGTAATATATAAAGTTTAGTAATAATTACGTATATAAATAATAAAAATAGATACACAAGAAGTTTTTAACATTAGATCAATATTTAATATCCTATATTAAATAAAACAAAAATGCACGAGATTAGTAATAATTAAGGATATAAGTAAAAAAAAAAAAAGATAAACCAAACAGTCAAGCAAACAAATAAACACAAACACACCAATATTTATATGCAGTATAAAACAAAATATAACTTGTAAGAGCCACATACCCGGATGTCCCTGTTACAATGTGCTTGCCATGCGGAAATATGACGTGTGTTTTTGCGGCCGACATCCTTCTGGACACAACACGAAAGCGTCCATTGCTTCCTTGGTTTCAGGTCTGTGTATGTGGTTGTGTGCGTGTGTGGGAGGGGATGGGGTGTAGGGTGATTGTGATTGTGATAATGATTATGGTTATGAGAGAGAGAGAGTAGAGAGAGGGAGTAGAGAGAGAGAGTAGAGAGAGGGAGTAGAGAGAGAGAGTAGAGAGAGAGAGAGACGTGAGTTGTATATGTCTGCATCTTTATTCATTATGAATATTCATTTGAGAACAGTCTTACCGCCAACATACTTGCACTTACCTGTCAACACCTGGGAACCCTAAAACAGAAATAGATATAAAATGTTAAAAATAAATGCATCAATGTAACGAATTTTGGGAGGCCTGAAAAGAGATGATTATAAACCGTTTATTTAAATGCAAAAA